TACTTACCGGCCGCCCCCCGCACTCAACCTTACACTTTTCCCCTAATTAACCGCCCCGGCCCTTTTGGTAAAAGGGGGTGTGGGTGGGTGGGTGTATGAATGATAAATGCATTATGCTTAGTGGTGGAGTATGTATCATGTATAGGCGATGATTGATCCTCACTTCACACGTTTATAGGTATAGGCTCCGCTTTACACAAGTGAGAGGGAAGGGTCCAAGGGTTGTAGGCTGATTGAAGACCATTTAGGTAAGCGGTATGAAACCATAACTTTTCCTTCTTTCTTTCATTCTCTTTCTTTTTATTGCCCACACTCTATTTCCTACACCACCACTCACACTACTTTATCGTAAACCATGCAACATGAAGAATCTCGACGACTCTCCAAAGATTCCCCTCTATCAGTAACAGATTCCTCTGGTCGGCAAGTCAGCTTGCTTAATGACGCTGCTGCTGCCGCTGCTGCTGCTGCTGTCAATGGTCTACCAGTACGGCCTGTGCCCAATCGAATGCCAATGGAGTATGAGCCATCACCAAGAGAATCACAGCAGTATATGACAACAGCCACTTCCTCTTCACCTTCCTCTTTGTCCTCAAGTAGCGGCTCTTCACCAGAAGAAAATAACAGTGGGAATGCACCGAGGCCAGCAGGTACACCAAACTGGTCACCACACCCAATACAACGACAACAACAACAACAACCATCGCCATCAGTGAGCAACAACGCATCTCCACAACAACAACAGCAACAAAAGGCCAATAGTCGACGAAAATATCATTGTACAGAACCAGGATGTAACAAGAGTTTTACTACAAGGTATGTTTGTGTGTGTATATGTGTGTGTGTATATGGACTATTGCTGATATGGGATTATTAGTGGACATTTGGCACGACACAATCGTATTCATACGGGAGAAAAGAACTTTCCATGTCTCTTTCCGGGATGTCAATCAAGATTTTCTCGACAAGACAACATGATGCAGCATTATCGTACTCACATGTCTCCAAAGTCAAGGCGATCTCAACGGGGCAAAGCAAATGGTGCACCTGCTACTGAAGAACCTCGTCCAAGACCTCGATTGCATGCACATCATAGGATTCGATCTGATCCATTTCGTGTGGAACCTCCTCTCACCATTGATCAACATTTGAGCAATTATCATCGATCCTTGTTAACCCCATCGGCACGCACAGAGCGATTTTCACCCACTCGCTATAACAACCATCAGCAACAACAACAACAACAAGCATCACCTATTGCCAGGCCATCACCCGTTGCCCCTGTACCCGTAGCAACCACCATGCAGCATGTATCCCCATCATCCACTCAACCATTGGCTGGCAGTACAAATACCAGTGCAAGTGCAACACCTGCTACCCCAATGACCCCATTGATGGCATCATCATCCACAACAACACCTGTTATCAATGTATCTCCCTCTCCTGCTGCTCCTGCTATTGTATCATCCTCATCCACACCATCTACTACTACCACACCATTGTCATCTACCCCATCATCCTCTTCACCCCCTGCTGTCTTTTATCAACATCGCCCATTGACCACCAACTTGTCATTGCTGGATCATCCTGCTGGTCAGGCTCCTCCGTTTCCTTTTACTTTATTGCACCCTCCTGTGCGTAAAGGTGATGATGATTCATCCTCGGATGGTTTACGACAACTGGCTCATGTTGTGAGCACCTTTGGTTAAAAAATATCTCCCTTGCTTTTCGTCCATTGTTTCAAGTATATAAAACGTTTTATTGTCTTTTCTGATGAATCGTAAAAGATATGCATGTGGCGCCTTTCTCTTGATAATAAGGTCTCAATAGGCATACATCGTGGGAGTCACATTGAAGAATATGCATGAAATTTAGAGATTTGGGCACGTGTTGTCACACAATGATACCATAATGTCAAAGCTCATTGCAGCATGAATAATGTAATGTGCGTTGTCAATAAGTCACAAGAACTCATGATACGATTCGTCATTTGTGATCTTGGAACAAAAGCTGTGATATAACATCATCACCGCCACCCATCCGCCACCATCCCGATCCCTCCCCCTACAAAAAAAACCTTCTTTTTTTATTTCTCTTGCACATGCAAAGTTCGTCCATATTAAACCGGGGACTCCTTTTACAAACAACTGGAAACCGCAAACGAACAAAGACTGATTGGACTTCCTTCCGCACTCGTAAATGGCGATCCACTCCTCTCATTTTGACGATCGATCAAGTGCGCCACATTGGCAAGGACATTGGGTTGTCAACGCTACGAAAAGCTGACGAGCATTTCAAGGTGAATACATGGTATCCATTATGCTTACGAGAACATGGGTCTAACATGGTCTATAAGGATCCTGCCAATGTATTCCTTATGCCCAAGCCCAAGTTAGTTGTCTTGTATAACTACATGCTCGACCTCGGGATAGCCACCAGCAAAACAATGGTGCGGATGAAACAAGCCGAACTTGCACGTGTTGTGGTCGATTTATTATATCCAGGATTCCCTGTTTGGCGTGCAAGAGATCGAGCAGAACGTCTCTTTCGTGAAAGGTACATCATCACAAGCAACGAAAAGGGAAAAACAATCAAAGTAACCATGGCAACGCATTGTTGAATATAGCCATCCTGTCCGATCTGGGCTAGCATATGACCTTGTTCCTACCACGGATGCCCTTGAGCGTGATCAAGAATTACTACGAGTACCAGTATCACCCTTGGAAGAAGATATGCATGAGCTATGTCTTTCTATACCCGTCAAACCGCTCCAGGATTATGCCAAGAAACGTGTCAAAAGGAAAGCGGATGATAAAGATATTCGCTTGCACTTGTACCTTTGGCTATCGAAATGGATGGCATGGCACCCGGATCTCACGTACTTCTCGGTGGATTCTCATGGGAAAGGACAATGGTCAAAGGACGATCAGGTAGGTAATAAGGAGAAAATGGGTGCCATTGTGTCAAAGTAGGGAGGCTCATTGTCTTTGTAGGAATTGGTCAAGCAAGGTTATCGGCACATTGATATCACAGACAAGGTGGATTGGCATAGTGTGCTTGAAAAGTCAACTGAAAAGAGCACCATTGACATCAAGTGTGATTGTGAAGCACACATCAAGGAATTATCGGTATGCACAGTGTGGTGCAAATCGCCTTTGGAGGTAAGCATGCGCTGTTGTATGTGTGATGAAATGTTGTGAAATACTGATGCTTTTTTTCTTTCACGTAGTTGACAGGCCAACTCTATTTGCAGTCTGCAAGTACCCAAGCTGTGCGGATCATGGAAAACACGCCTCGACAACAACAGCCCGCCATCCAACGTCAAATGATGGATCTCCTTCCTTCTCCCTATGCATCCAAATCGGACATTCAGCAATTGCAGGCAATCTTTGATTCTTGTTTCACGTCGATGGGATGTAGCAACACACAATCATCATCGAGCAGTGGTGGTGGTGGTGGTGGTGCAAGTGGAAATGGTTACAATGACAAGAACGATGAAGAAGAGGAGGAGCTGATCTTAGGCGACCAATCCATATCGTTACTAGACCCAATGCTCTTATCACGCCTTCAGTATCCAGCACGCGGGATTTATTGTACACATGCATCTTGTTTTGACGCACGTGTCTTTTTCCTATGCCAACTATCACGACGTGTATGGAAATGCTATATCTGCAATGTACAATACAAAAGCATCCAAGACTTATATATCGATCATGAGATGGCTCAAGCACTATCAACATACCCCGAGGACGAGCGACTGGTCTTGCGAAATGGTATCCTTATGCCAGCCGATCCAAGTTTCAGTCGCAGTGACTCGACTAATGCCACACCTTCTGTACCAACGCCATCTGTAGTTTTAGACGATGATGATACTCATTCCATTAAAAAGCAAAGGATATCTTGATCTTCGTTTTATGTATAAAATTGCTTATCTATAGCATCATAACTTACCACGTGGGGTAGTAGTATATAGAAAATGAGGGAGACATGGAGCATCAAAGATAATGACGTTATAGAATACAAAGGTAGTAAAGGCGGTTTATTTATGATGCAACATGTAAACGTGAGACATGTCTTGAGGTGTAGCGCAACTCCAAAAGAGAGCCTTGGGTCGATTGTGCTTTGCAGGGCTGTTCCATCGTCCAAGAAAGCATATGGATACCCCGTTCATGATCCGATGCACGCGTTCTCCAGTCCGAAAACGTAATAACTCAACACTCTCTCGACTAAATCCCACCACACACCAATCTTGATCAGTGTCGATATGTTGATTGTTGCTGTTGGCAGCATCCTGCTCTTGTTGCTGACCGAGTTGAATGAATTCAATGTGTTGTGGTTCATGAGTCCATGCATAAACTTGCGTCGAAAAAAGACGACCCGAGAGATCAATAATGTAACTCTGACGCCCAAGCGTGGCAAAAAAGAGTTGTGGTGAGGTGGTGGATGAGAGGGCAACAGGTTCAGCAGCTTCAAGTGGTGAGCATGTAACAACGGTATCATAGGAAGGTGGATTTGAGTATTCGGTTGTAAGCGTGTTGGCTGCAATGCTGCTTGGATAGAATGGGAGTTGAATCAAAGATGTCCATTGCATGGCCGGTGGTGATGTTAATGTGAGATCCGGAAAAGAGGAAGAAGGTGGTACATTGTTGGCATTGTTATTGAGATTGATGGCTGTAGTAGGCATTGAAGGTGATTGTGGCGTTGAATGAGAACGTGCACGTGATTGTGGCGTTTGTTGTTGTTGTTGCTGTTGTTGTTGGTCATCCAATTGAGCGCGTAGCCAACCCGTTTGATAAAGCTCGGTCAATTTCTTGTCAACAGGCACAGTGTGCACTTTGCTGTTCCTTAACCCAATGGCTGTGGCTTCAGTCGAAAAAACGGCAAGCAAATAGCGTAAAGCAATGCGATCATCTGCAAAGGAAACCCAACGTGGCTCAGCAGGTATCCAATACACCTTGAATTTGTACATTGGTGTCAACCTCCATGGCTTATCCTGATCACTGCGCCGGTGTTGCCATACTACGAGCTTATCCTTTTGCATGGCCGATACAAAGATAAATGCACTTGTTTGATATAGATCCATTCGTAAGACGTCCTTGCATTCGGAAAGTTTGTAATGGTAATCCTGCAATGCGACATTGTTGCACAAATAATGTTGCTTGGATGCCAATCCTCCTGCCAACACAAGTTCATCTGGTGTTGTTGATGATGATGATGGCGTGGGTCTTCGTGTGGATGATTGCGATGGTGGTGGTGGTATATCATTAGCGGGTGCTTCATCAGACGATCTTCCAGATAATGATGCAATGAATCTCCAATCGCTAATGCTGGGTAAATCAAACTCGGGTTCATAACGATCCTTCCAATTCATGCGATAAATGGCATAGCAGAGCTTCCTGATGGCATCGAGAGAGTAACATCGTACACGCTTGTTGCGTCCTGCAATCATCAAGATCACGCGACATGGCTTGTTGACAATCATTTGTCGTACTCTGATCCATAGAATTGTTCTCGGCTTGACTGCTTGTTGATGCAAATCCATCACTTCTACACCTCGCACGGCATGTCCCAAGAGCATAAATCGTTCATCCACAATACAGCACGACTCATACGGCGGCGACGGTGTTGGCCAATGCACTGACTCTGATGCTAGTATGCTAAGCTCCAGTTGAGACGCTAAATGATGTGCAGGCTGATACAACGTAAGTCATCATGATGAATTGATATGGGTGCATGTGCCTTATGCAAGTAGTAGTAATAGTATACCTCATGTTGTGTAGGTGGTTGCTGTTGTCTAGATGCAGCAATGGAGTCGACTCGCGCATGATGATTGGTGGCAAGGAGGTTAATTTGACTGTAGCGTGGTGGCAAGTCATTGTCCACATTGGAGGGTTGTTCCTCAATTGTCATGTAAGAAAAAGAAATCCGGGAAAACAGTGCATTGGGCGAAGCACAGGTTCGGACGAAGTAAAAAGGTGGGTGTGCTCTGCACAGTCGCTCGATCGCTCTCTGCTCGCTACAATTGACCCTATTTGACTCCGCCACATAATTCCAAGCACTACCGATGATGTACACATCTCTTGGCTTTCTCTTCTATTCTTTCTCTCTCTCTCTCTCTCTACTCCTTCATATTTTACTATATCGTATCCCTTTTATAATCATACAATCGCATCTATTTATCCATCTCATCCATCCAACTATAAAGTTTCATCTTTCAACGAGATACACCACCACATGTCAGCAAGAGGAAGCGTATCGCTCGATTGGAATGGTACTAGGGATCTATTAACACCTTCTTGATGTATGGCAATGATTAACGTTTCTTTTGTTTTGTTGATCAAAAGATGTAGCTTTCTTCCATGGCTGATATACCGTAACCAAGGAGACGCATAATAGAGGCAATGTTGGATGATGGCACGCCATTGACATGTCCTTGATGCTTTGATAAGCACGCGAACTCGGCGATGTTCTTTCACCCGATGCTTACCCATGCACCATGACAACTCGCCAAGAACACGCTACACTTGCGGAATCGTAATCTCTCCATTTAAAGATCGAGCTATGGATGATGTGAGCGTAAAGCTTGAGCAACGTGGCTTACCAGTAACGAGATCAAGGTACCACAATAACAAATCTTATTCCTTCCCTCCGCTCAACGCTTTCAACCATAGGCATTCCAAGCTTCTTGTTATCAGCTCCATCAGATTACATACACCCATCCTCAGCATCGATCAGCTTCACTGATTCGCCAATGGCCTTGGAGCACATCTCGATGCAAAGGGAGAGGAGCAAGATATAGAACCATACCAGAGGGCAAATGACATAACCAAGTTGGCATGTTTGTGCAACCAAGCTATCTCGGAAGACGGGAACACCTCATTGAATTGTTGGCATGATCTTCACGTTGACAAGGATCCACAACCAAACGTCATAGTTTCGTCACCGTGTAAGGCTATTCCTTGATCATGCTCTATACACGCAACCAGCTAATACCTTTTCAATCAGCCATTTGCGGTTGTCATGGCAACGATGATACACCTTGCAAGATCAACAAAAGGATACACACATCCAGCTACAGGTTATCCTTTTCCACTACACTCCTTCATGAGAAACATCCGTATTGGCCGACACGTATGATGATGATCCAACATAATCCAATCAGTATCTTGTAATCGAGATCAGCTTATGGAGAATGGTTCTGAAATTGTGAAGGTCATTACCAATAGTGGGATCGACAAGCAGCAAGGGAAAGGGCATCTACCAAGTCTCAGTAGAAGAATGGTGCTGAGAACAACCCCGATGTGGCATGAAATCCTGGCTCGGCATCGAACTCTTTGGCTCATCGCTTAGGACGTTCAGGAAAACGAGGGCTTTTCATGGGTGGATTAGTAATGGAAAAAGAAACAATCTGCCCTGGATGATGGTTTTCTATAGTATTCCATAGCTGGGAGGGAAGAAGAAGGTTCATTTATTCATGTGGGGGTGGCCTTTTTTTACGCTCCTTTCTAAGGCTCCCCGTCGGTTGCACCGATACATCGGCGGAGGAGTCTTTTCATTTCATAGACATTTAATTAAAGTCGCTATTTCTTTTGCTTCTATAACGTGTTATCGATTATTAAGATGGTGTGTCCTTGTTTTATTTTCCATTCTTAGTCTTATGGCCGTGGTAGTTGTACAGAGCACAATGAATTTGGAAAAGGCCGAAGACCAAGGGTCAATGAAGATTGAAAACGTGCTCTTGGTGAGTGTGTGTGTAATCCCAACGAGAAAGGTTTCTTTCATTGTCTATGGTAACACAAAAAGACAAAGGCCCTTGCCTTGAATTAAGCCATCGCCGTGAGACCTTTGTGAGCAAACACACGTAAGCGATGTGTGGAACCCTGGGCACCGAGTCTGTGGGTAAAGTGTGACATGCACAGACGGGTATACGCTTATCATCAACGCGACATGTGTGGTATTCCCATCGATCATCGATCACTTGTCGGTCATGTGAGGAGCAAGGCACAGCATTTGCTATTATGACAAAAAGGTATCATGTATGCATCTAGACACTTCGATGCTATGTAACATCAAATATAACAACTTTTATGTCGTATGTGCATAGCATGGCATCCGAACGCAGCATGTGATGGATGTAATGTGTGATCAGACATAGTGCAAACAATCGCGGCGTTTGTATTATGATGCATCTGCATGCGATAAAAGTCTCAGAAGAGAGCAATCGAGGAATTTGCATGATAATGCATACTTGGCCAACTACTTCTTGTTCATGCATCATGTCGGCTCCGCAATGAAGCTTGCTCAACACATGCATACCTATCGTATTTTGGAATTTTAATCTTCCACTGCAGTGCGATGTACGACATACACAATCTATGTGTACCCCTTGTTGAAACGTAAAAATCCGACACACGTAAAACTGCGGCTGTTACATAAAGCTGCATATATCGGGCGATTACACAATGCACAGCCATTGAAATTTGCGTGATACGCCATTGATGAATGAAATGCTATGAGACTAGAAGATGATAGTTTATTCCCTCAATCCATGATCCAATGCTCCTTTTCCTTCAGCAAGCCGAGAAAAAGAGATTGGGTACAAGAAAGTAGGGTTATGGATAAAAAAGAGCACAATGAAGGGGGGTTTGAATGATATATATAGTTGGTTGTTGCAACAACAGGTATAATAGATGGAAATCCAGGATGCGATTGAGTACGCGGTATACTGCAATAGAAGCGTCAAATGTGAACTTTACATGACCGTATTCATAGGCTTGACACTGAATTCGGGCATCCTATGTGGTGTAGGGAACTCAAGCTTTCGATGCAAACGATAGGTGATATCAATGTAATCGGGCTCAGTATCCGCGCTGATGATCGAATGTCGCATCAAGAAGTCAATGGTGACTAGATAAAGGGGCACACGTTAGTATTGGTCACGCCCTTGAAGCTTCTCATGACCCACACAACAACTTACCCAAGGCCGAGTTGGGCTTCCATTCGTCATTCAACAACGTTTCACGGACCTGGAAGGTGCGTATGTGATCAGAGCGTGAGTATTACATTGATCAAGATCGCCGCCCATCGATGCTCATATGATACCACAAGCTGTCCATGAGAATGACCCTTACCTTTTCAAGTGGCCAAAGATAAAAACAGTCTACCTCTCCATCCTGTGGGGTGGGAACTACACCATGAGGAAGCTCGAGATCAAATGTGTACCTGGATGATGTAATGTAATGGTTAGACAAAGAAGGCTTAATACAAAGTCCACGACAATGCCGGCTGCAAGGTTAAAGGGGTGAATAGGTTTTTGTGTATGTGTGTGTGCTTGTCAAAACAAGGAGTAAAGGGTGTATTGCGTTGTTCGGGTATACGTGAAAAGAAGGCAACCAACATGGCGAATGGGGATATAAAACTTACTGTGTCTCGGGTACTAGGCCATGGTCTGTGTAGGTAAAGTAGGTCACTGCACCCACGCTTCGAGCCTGATTTAGAAGGTCAGCAACATGTTTGTATTCTTAGCTCCCATTATCCACCATCCGCTGTGCTCATTATATATTTGCAGTGGGGTAATGGATAAAATGGATATGGATCTACCTTTTCAGAAATGTCGGATGGAATGCTAGCTTCTTCATTACATTCTCTAATGATCGTATCTCGAGTTGATTGGTTGTACGCAACGCCACCTGCCACCTAGATAAGTACACAACAACTTGCGTGGTGAGAAAGATGTCACGAGGAATAGATTTTCAATCACCCAATATGTCATACACACTTACACAGTTATCCAAAAGACCTGGCCAAGTTTGTTTTGTGAGACTGCGCCTCGCTACCCAAAGCTTGATGCTACCATCCACAGGGTCACGCACATAGGCATTCAAGTGTGCGCCAAATTGTGAGATGCCAAAGAGAGGTGTACCTGCACGCTCAATGACAAAGGATACATTATCAGATCGACTCGAATCTCCAAAAACGGGGAAGATTTCATTTCGCCATCCTAGTGGAATATCATGTGAACATCAAGGAAAGGTGTGCAATGCTATGTTTATCATCTTAATTACCAGCAAGGACCTTGAATGTTTTGTTGGCACGCCATGTCTCCAACAAATCTTTCATGACTTGAGACCGCTTCTCGAATGAATTGACCCATGATGCAAATGAAATGTATGATCCTTCAACGATTTCAAAGGGTGGATGTTGCTGGGCGTCGTTGTATTCGATCAAAGCTGGTAACGTGCTTGGTAAAATTCTGCCCACAATATAGGGTCCTAGTCGAAAGGGGATGGTATGATGGACCTCGTCAGGATTTTTTGGGTCAAATTCATGTGGGAACTTGTCGGCATGTGCAATGACTTGGAGAAAAGAGTTGAATCGAGGTGCCATAATGGGTTTGTGTGTGGGGGGTATTAAGAAAAGAAATAAACGTTGAAATAAGTCAAGGAAAAGGTCTACTTCAAAGGCGACCTTTTTATATCCGTCCCGTATCCGGGAGGCGGTGTACAACATCTGAAAAGATCCACGTTGGTACATATGTATGTGTGCGTGTGCTTGTATGTGCAACATTGCTCCTCCATCGTCATTACTTTTGGTAATAACTAATCTCGATGGGGTGGTATACGTTCTATCAATCGTCCCCCCGAATCCATCAGGATATTTGGTTGTGCTATTCCCCCTTGCACCCCCATCCCATATCTCACCCACCCCTATTTTTACAGTATCAAGATATTTTTTCGTTTGCAAAAGAAGCAACAACAGTAAATAACCTTCAACGTGGCTATGTTAATCAGGCACGATAGGAGAACAAAGACACAACAACATTGACCAGTCTTTCTCCTCGTTCTTTATTCCAATGCTCAGACAAGGAGATTGCTAATGATAATGTTGCTACGCTTTTTCTAATGTTGCTGCTGCAACATGTGTGTGGTTGACGTATTAGGCGTATTTGGATAGTGAATCCAGGCAACCGTTGCCATGTCGACAGGTTTTCGTTCTCTATTTGTATTGATGCTCCTGAATCCTGTCGACGACCCACATTCAACTTGTCATTTAATAAAACCAACCAACAATGCGAATCAAAGAACATGTTGCTGCTGTACCATAATGCCATTTTTAATACATGCTATGCTATTGCATGCAGCCATTAATGAAAGTTCACACAATGAATCAAAAAAAAGTTATGTGATGGCGAGGATAGTGCTACAACAAAACATCAGTGGCGTTGTCAATAGGGTGGTTGCTCGCTTTTGTTGTCATAGGAGTTTTTAGTGCCTTGAACCTTGTGTTTGAATCCCCCGTGTATACTCACATTTACAGTTTTCCCCTTCTTTGCTATTCTCGTCAATCGATTCTTGGCCCCCTCCTCTTCAAGAGGATCCGATCATAGCGGTACTACTCGTATCTACTACCATCCCTCTTGTACATCCCCGAACCCAGAACAAAACAAGCTCAGTTTAAGATAGCACCGTAGGCTTGCATGTACGGTTACGTGATTTACGCTTTTGAGAATCTGAGAAGATGTTGTTGGGAAAAGAAGGTTGCAGGCTGTTTCTCGACTGCAGAAAAAGAATGGCACCATGACGAGGGCAAATTCATTGGGTCGGACAAAAAAACGAGCTTATGGGGTGGCAAACATGGTTGCACACGTATAAACATCGTAGAGGATAGTGAGAGAGCTACCCTAAAGCGTACCAGCGCGCGTGACACCAGCGTCCTCATTGTTGTTGGCGATCAATCATCGCCTCTACTATTCCAACATCAGCACCACATCATCAAAATAGGTCGCACCATTTCTTTATTGTGTCTTGCATATATGAGAAGGATCGTCTTCTAAATACGCTATATCATTCGATTCGTTTTGAGATGTCTTTTTTTCTGGCCCCCTTTTGATAATGATGCTCCGTTGCCATGCATCTAGCCACCACAATGCATTTCCCCCCAAGCTCTTGCATCCGATCATGTACCACCCTACTTGTGTAACCGGTAAAAAGAAAAGAAATAGCGTGTGCACGATCGTGGTTGTACACATGGACAAGAGATGAAGCACGAAAGATGATGGTGTTATGGAAGATGATGATAAATACCGTTTTGTGACATGGAATAACAGAGAAGGCGATTATCCGCTACGTGAATTGATAATTCAATACGCGGTAAACACGTCCATGTTTGGTTCGAGTAATATGCAGAAACGGCGTAAAAGTTGTATCACTCCAAAGCCAATGCAGGTCTTACAGGAGCATGCCAGCCTGACCATTTTGCTTTTTTATCACACACCACATGACACTTGGCGACACAAACATGTCCGTGAAAACAGTGGCAACAATGTGAGTGTGATTTAGTGTACATATCTTTGCCATTGCCTCATGATCGCCACACAACTCAATATTGTTTGTAAGATGGCGAAGCAGTATGCATCTTTGTATATGCGCGGTCTCCATAATCCTCTCGCTCACACATTAAGCCCCGCCTCATGACCATGCCAAGCGCACAATCCACCCACGAAATGTGCCTGCATCTCCTTTTCCAAGGGACAGCATGACACTTTGAAACCACAAGATGATAAAGCAATGAATGTTGGTCATTGTGAAATGATAATATGAAGCCGTCAGCGATAAGCTTTAATATAATGCTTTGATTTAATAAGAATCGGATAATAAACAGATGGGTCGATGTGTCACAAACAAAAGATGTAATGATGTGCGATGTTGAGATTAACCGGTCCATGCATCCGAATGCATAATAATCGATCACCACCAATGACAGCCACTATTTGCGATGATGATGCATTGCTGAAGTTGTATTAAGCCCATGAGCGCCTGCTTCATCGGTCGTTGCTTTTCGGAAATTCATCGGCCCAAATGATGGTCTCGATCGTGAAGATAATGGTTCTGTGTTTGAGCCTGTCATGCTAAATCCTAATTACGCGGGAAGGAAGGAGATGAGTAACGATCAGCATTATGCATTCTCCCCTTCTTCTCTTATGTTATACTCACCTTGAAATTGTGCAGCACCACCACCACCACCACGTCCACGAGTACCACGACCTCGTCCTCCTCGTCCTCTTCCTCGTCCTCTTCCACGACCACCATATGCTCTAGAATTGCGAAAGCGGGGATTGCTCATGGCCAAACTCATCAAATCCATTGGTACTGCTTGTCCCGAGTTTTCAAGGTTTCGAACCAAATCGCCAGCAAACTTGTCGTCTTTCTTGGTAATCAATGTATAGGCTGTACCCTTTTCACCAGCTCTACCCGTACGACCAATACGATGTACATGAGAATCAATATCACGGGCAACGTCAAAGTTGACAACGTTCTTGACAGTCTTGATATCGAGACCTCGTGCAGCCACATCGGTTGCCACCAGCACATTGAATTTGTTGGCTCTAAAGTCACGAAGTACTCTCTCACGCTCGTGTTGCATAAGATCACCATGTAATGCTCCGCCTGAATAACAATACGTGTTAAACTCAATAACAACAACAACAACAACAACCAACCTATACTTACAATCAAAACCGGCATCTCCGAGGTTCGATGCAAGTACATCGACAGCCCCTTTACGTGATACAAAGATGATGACACTTCCTTCTGCATAATAAAATTTTAAAGTTTAGCGACAGATTCATGCATGGCATATCTCATGTCATCTTACCAGCACAGAAACCAGGTAGCCGACGCATTAGCCAATCCCATTTGTACATTTCATCTTCCATGACTGCCACAATTTGTGTAATGTCCTCATTGGCTTGACCCGTTGTTCCCACACTGATGCGAATTGGATCGTGAGTCACTTCGCGTGCAAGCCATTCCACCTTTTTGGGAAATGTGGCACTGAAAAGGAGAGCTAGATATGCAAAAGACAAGTTAACTCTGTAAACAATGACCCAAGAAAATAGGAGAACTGTACCTTGGCGATCCGGACGTACGTTATCACAAATCGAACGAACTTGGGGCTCTAAAGAATCCATGAGTAAGATCCCCCTTTTCTATCCACTGCATGAAGGCGTATATACACGCATATGCTCTTCTCCTTACCAAATCCCAAATCAAACATGCGATCGGCTTCGTCCAATACAAGGTAACTCACGCGTCTAAGGTTGGTTGCTTTCATCTTGATCATGTCAATCAGTCGACCCGGTGTTGCAACAAGGATCTCCACACTGCCGCTGCGTAATTGTTTGAACTGAGTCATCTTGGATGCACCACCATAGACTGCTGCCACATTGAGACCATAGGCTTTGGCGAATTTCTTCGTCTCTGAGTAGATCTGAACCGCCAATTCACGCGTAGGTGCAAGGATAAGACCAATGGGACCATCACCCTTTTGCAATTCCTCTTGATCCATAATGTGTACAAGCATTGGCAAAACAAAAGCAGCTGTTTTACCACTGCCCGTCTTTGCAACACCAATGATATCACGACCTTCGAGAGCGGTAGGAATGGCTTGTTTCTGAATAGCTGATGGCTCCGAATAACCAGCCTTGATAATGGTAGACATGATATCCTCATCGAATCCAAAATGAGCAAACGAAATGCATGGCTTTGGTGGATCACTTCCAGTCACGTGTAAACCAAGATCACGTCGAATGGCTGCAACACGCTCCAAGGATAAGGCACCAATGTCGCTGTGTTCCTCGTAAAAGTACTTTTCAATCTCGGGATACTGAATCTCATCATGGTTGACACGTGCCAAGGGTTCAATTTCCTTCTTGATAGGACCAACACCATCATCGTCGTCATTGTCGTCATCCATAAGGGCAGCCGTCGCATACACCTCGTCATCCGAATTGGCATTCTAACAACAAGCGATCTTCAACTCACACCGCTCGAGTTCGAAAACATATAATATCATTCTTTCTACCTCATCACGTCGATGCAAGGTATCCGAGCTTGGCTTGCCCACCGTAATGCCTTTCCCCTTCATGTGTCGTACATAGCTTTCCATATCATCCTCTTCTTCAAGATCGTTGCGTTGTACCTATGCAATTCCAAATTGGTTAACATGCCAACCTTCCAATGATACCATGTACATGCCTTAGGTTCACTCTTCGCACTCTTGGCTTGTTCATTCATATCTGCCATAAATGCATCCAATGGATCCTCCTCATCATCATCATCGTCGGCTGCAGCTGGTTGACTCGCTTGTGGTGCTGATACTTTGGATACTGAAGAAGGTGCTATTCATGAAACCATGCCTAATGAGTTCTCTCCAAGTATGATCGTGAACAAGGGATTCCATACCAATTCCGGCACTGGCAAGAAATTCGTCCTCATCGTCGGCTTGGATAACAGTCGATCGCATTCGTTTGGAAGCATCCTTAGAAGTTGATTCACCCTCAGATGTATCTTCAAGTGGTCTCTTGGGCTCTTGTTTCTTCTTGGAGGAAAATGATCCAATGCTGAACTTCATGTGTGTTTAAAGGGAGAGAAGAGAGATGGATGCGGAGCCTTTCACACGCGCGTCTGACATTGTCACATGATGCTCGTCCCGCCATGTATATAATCTTTGACCACTATTAATAAAATCGGTTTCCTTACCTTGATCATGAAGGTGATGAGCGTAATGGTTTGGTCGTCAGTCATTGGTATCCAAGGAGACAACCTCATACTGTAGCCAATTGATCTTACATAGCAACCGTCACCTAACACCTATTTGATCTTACTTTCATCGCATCACTGCGTTATACATCGAGATTTCTTTTGAATGGATACCCATAACCAATTGACTAGAGAACTACGTAGTTGATCTCTTTTCTGGTAAACGTTTGAATTCTCATGCAACGGCTTAACTCTACCCTATGGAGTAGTGGTCTTACAGCAAGCTTACGTAGCTTTTCCCCTCATTCTCAACTGCTCCCCATTTCATCATACATGAACGATGCTCCTGCTCCTGCTCATCATTCTCATGCTTCAATTGTCTTGATCCAAGAGGATTTGGCTGGCCAAAGCTGAAACAGGGAGCATACATATCAATTCATGCACGTTTCTTATGTTTCCATCCGTTCTATATTTGTACCCTCCCATTCAAAATTGTTATAATGATTTATGAGGACAAAGTTGATCAGCATGACCAAGAGCACATTGTGTGGAAGTTTCACGATCGAGGTGGGCAATCCCATAATCAAGATTTAGCTTAGAGCGTTCATGGATTTGTAGAGCTGCGCCTGACAGGTGAATCTCTTAATTTTCAGCTCTTCCACTCTCAGCGTCTTGTCTCCTCCTCCACTTTCAACTGTTGGCCCATTCAAGTACACCTCCTGTCTGCGATCGATTGTCCTGCTTCAACCCATCATGTCAATCCTACAACTCTCTTGATCCGATTGCCTTGGCTGAATGAGAAGTTCACGGCGTGTGCACCCCACTACAACACTCACGTTTCTTCATGACACTACACCTTCTCTCGGACACTCCTCTACCACGAACAATCGTAACAGCATTCATTGCAGCAATTGCTATCAGCGAGGTCTTTACTCCATTGCCTCAAACAGCATTCACAATCTTGTCACTCTACTACAACACACGCTCTTGCACACCTGTCTGCCACAACCAAACGTAACAACAGTTGCCACTAGCAACGTCTCCATTGGCATCAAGTTACTTGCAGCAACCTGTCTTACAGCCGTTTTTTGCGTGAACAGCAGATAGCCATTGTATGGAAGCATCTTTATTTCCATATCGCAACCTGATTTAATACATATGGATCCTTATGGATGATGCCATATCAGCTATCGAGTGCACCGCGATACAACCTGGTTGAGCTGCGATAGGAGATGATAAAGAAAGAGATAGACCAACAGGTGGATGGAAAAGGAAGCATGTCAACGGCGGCTCTTTTCAACCAACATATTGAATTTGCCATGGTTATGGATGGATGGACGCAAGCTCGGTGATAGGTGATTTTGAAATGTCGTTTGGTTACTTGGCACATCGTCAGCAGGAAAGATGGATTATGTCAAGTGGATATGGCTGAGTATGATGGTGGGATGGATGGCATGGATGAGAGGGCTTACATCTTTGACGAAAGGCGGCTTGTTGCCATTGGATGGTATTGGATATTGGAGCCACGGCAACCACAGCAACCAGTTTGAAATCATGGATGAAGATGTTTATGACTGCAGCAACCAAGAATACAATGAGACAACGATACCCGCTTATCCTATGTGATCCACTGATTGGTTTCTGAAATCAAGGGGGGGGGGATAGAAACTCGAAGGCCGGAAGGCGAGATTGGATTACCTACATCATTGTATCGAGACGCTTTTGTTCCTTTTGTCATATTACATTCATTAAAGCTTCCTTGTTCATATGCTGAGAGACGATAGGTAGTGGCAGTAACGGATTGTATACGTGTTCAAATAGACGCTTGTATTCTCAAAGATAATAAATTCATAGTAATTGTACCCAACAATAGTGCTTGTTACTGAAGAAGGTCATTGTAAGCTTGAATCATCACGTCTAAGAAAGAGTGGGTGCTCTGATACAATGTGGCACGAGTACATGCATGTGCTTACTTATGAGAACTATCAGCATGCGCTGCTACCTTGTATGTATAACCTTATTTAAGAACGAACCCTAGAGACAAGCAATACCATTACAACGCGTATTCTTGGATGCCCTGAACATCCTTGGCTTGTTAACCATTCTATCATAGGGGGACCTCACTATAGCGGGAAGTGTCAATCATGCAATCTCCACCAATAAGAACCCTTCAAGCCCTGCCCCTCTCAGTTCTATTACAAGGGGGTACCTCCGCATCTTTCGCTGTATCAGGCTCATGCAACTTGACAATGAACAAAGACCACTCTTCATATAGCATCACGCTTACAAACATAAAGACGCCTGTATCTCCAAACTTTACAATGAAACGTGGGGTTTTGAATAGAGCAATGGGCTCGGCTTGGCCAACAGCACCTTGTGTGAAAGTTTCACGTTCAATGTCGCAAACAGCCCAAAAAATATTTTTTGGTCGTCGTCGTCGAAGAGGTCGACCCCCAGATCCAGTTTGGCTGGTGGCGACATTGCGAAATCTGGGATTGGCAAGCTTGATCGTGAAACTTTCACCCAAGGTGTAGTTGGCCAAGCCGAGCACATTGCTCTATTCAAAACCCCACGTTTCATTGTAAAGTTTGGAGATACAGGCACCTTTATGTTTGTAAGCGTGATGCTATATGAAGAGTGGTCTTTGTTCATTGTCAAGTAGGTGGACCCTGGCAGAGCCAAAGATGCAGAAGGACTTCTTTGGCTAACTCAGCTAAAAAGTCAGGACTTCAGGGACAATGCATGATAGGTACGCAACCCTCACTTTTATGGCATACATTGGCAGCCAATAGCCACTTTTGTGCATTCCCAACTTTTGTGCATTCTATTGTAGGTGGACGATTCTCCTGCTCTAGACATTCATTTCCATGATTAAAGTAGGTTGATCCGAGCTGATTTGATTGAGTTACGCTCACACAAGATTACATCGGTTGAGCTACATCGAGCGTGCTTTATGTCCAGAGTGATGTAATCTCTCTTTGACCGTAGCTCAGTCAAATCAGCTCGGATCAACCTACTTTAATCATGGAAATGAATGCCTAGAGCAGGGGCATCGTTCCCATGCAGTGGATCTCGCAACAATGATGATTGGATAAAAATGGCCGTTAGCTAGCAATACATGCCTGTTCCTAGATGATCCATAAAGTAATTATACATTGACCCTTTCATTCATGCAAACGTAGCTGTGTTACACAACATGACTCTCTGCATCTTTTGCTCTGCCAGGGTCCACCAACTTGACAATGAACAAAGACCACTCTTCATATAGCATCACGCTTACAAA